TACTATCTGTCTTCTACTTGTGTGCAGATTTTTTGTAGGAATGTATTTCCCACGAGTAGAACTTTAGAAAAAGTGACAAATAGAAGTTCTCATTTTTGCTATATAAGCAAATAACTGTCGGGTGTTTTTTCAATAATTTCCTTATTAATGACAATCCGAAAATCAAAATCCATCATTCTTATTTCTTCATTATGTTCTGAAGTTAGAAATGGGTCTATATAACTCACCTGCGACTTGAAATATGTATATTTTACGTGCTTTTTTTTGGCTGTTTAGATCTAAGTACTAATCAAATCATTCAGATTTCACCATTTCTTTTAAGTATAACCAATCAACACCCCCAAACAAACAAAAATTAACAACAATCAAACCATTACCTTGAGCTATATAAGGTGTGGTTTCCTCTTTAGAAGGGATATTTGTAGGCCGAGGATTGGGGGCAGGAGGTCGGTTTAAAATGAAAGATCGACTTCCAAGTTTTTTCTTTATACTTATATTGGCCAATATTATGTCGTACTCATTGTCAACAATCTCAGTAAAAGTGTATGGATCTTCCTCCTCCTCTTCTTGCTCTTTTTCTTCTTCCTTTTCGTTTTCTACTCTGGGTTCAACTCCTGCTTCTTGTCTTTCAACAGAATCACACCAGTTTTTGTTTCTTTTCATTTGGCTTTGCAGCATTGCTCCTGCTTAAGAAACATTAAGATTGTGTTACTCTTGCCTTATACGTAATATTATTGGTGTTCATTAGCCAATTTCCTGAGCTTCCCAACTGATTTAATACAATATCATAGTGAACAACATAAGAGTACATGCCTCTTGAAAAATAGTTTTCAAAAAAGGAAAAAAAAAAACTATGTATGTTAATATATTTTTCTGCAGTTTTAGTTAACTTCCTCAAAGAAAAACAGTTTGCTTAGGATGAATATTCTTTGGATGTGCATATAAGTTTTTCCATATTGTTTTGCCTATTATAATTTATCAATGATTTCATAACCGGAAATTGAATTATAAACTATCCAACTACAAATGCACTTAATATTATGTTTTTAAAATATAACATTCTGAAAATTGTCTTTCATTTGAAGTCATTTTACCTATCATGGTATTTGCACTATGTGTTTTGCCTAAAATTCAAATTCCCTGTAAATTGTAGGAGAATAGCTAAAACCACTATGATTTGTTTCCCTAGTATTAACTCTCACTCTGGCTATGAAAAACTCATCTTCAAAAATGCAGCTCTTGATTTCTAGCTGAAGGACATTGAAAGTAGATTTGGTAATTTCAAGACTTAAAAGATGTCATAAATATAATCAATAGCTTTAGGATTAATTCATATGAAAAAACTAAAATTGCTGGTTTGTAGATTTTGATGATTTCCCTATTCTTTATATATTTTTATAAATTTGTGCTAAAGATTTCAGCAGCAACTATTTTGGATGTTTGTTTTTAAAAGTGCCATAAAGTCAGTACTGACTCATAGGGTTTCCAAGGAGTGGCTGGGGGATTTTGATTGCTGACTGGGTATAGCAGTGCAGTGCTTATCCTACAGTGCTACAACCAGGACTCCAGTTTAGGATATACTTGGGTTAATAAAGAAGTTGGCAATTTCATTGGCTCCCTATCAAGCTAATGAAAGCTTTATTTATTTATTTTTAAAATTGTCCTTTGACAAGTGATTTATTTAAGGGGTTAATTAAATTTTTTTCTAAATAAATTATTTTAGTCATTGACTGAAAACCTATTGCTTTCCTTTGGCATTCTGAGATATTCATGTATCTTAGATAAAGGAGAACTGTTCTCTTTTTTCTTTGGTAACTGAATGACTAAAAATGCATTTTACCTATGGATATTTTAGTGGAAAAGCTTAGCTGCTAAGAGGAAAGCTAAGATTTTGAGCAAAGTAAGAAAATTCAACAATGATTTTAGATAGGCTAATGAGGAGAGAGTAAAATGATCTTCCACAAGAGCCTTTGTTGTTGTTGTTGTTGTTAAGTGCTGTCGAATCGGTTCTGACCCATGGTGACCCTGTACAAGGCTGTAAATCTTTACGGGAACAGATAGTCTCATTTTTCTCCCACGGAACCGCTGGTAGTTTCGAACTGCTAACCTTGTGGTTCGCAGCCCAATTAGTAACCACTACGCTACCAGAGCTCCCTTTTGTTGTTGTTAAGTGCTGTCAAATTGGTTTTGACCATAGCAACTATACTCAGGGTTTCCAAGGAGTGACTGGTGGGTTTGACCGGCTGGTCATACTGTTAGTAGTCCAATGCTATTTTAATCCAAGTATTCATGGTCTATGTGCCCAGAACTAACTTTAATAACACCATGACTTGACTTTTCCTGTGACTATTTTGATTTTGAAAATTGGACTTCATGACTTGTGTTTCTCTGACATCAGCACAGGTGAAACCAGATTAAGTGTGTGGGAAACACTCATGGTGCTTCATTTTTAGCAGGATGTGTCAAAGCTCTGCTTTTGTGAACCAATTTCCTGAGCTGTTAACTCCCTTTGTTTCCACCCACCTCCTTTTCTAACTATTTCTAAAGATGGACTTATACTATAAATAATACAGTTTATTTTTTATTTTCTAGTGTATCACTTTATATCTTTTATTTCAGAGTGATACCAGAGCTTTCTCAATTCATATTGTACATTAATAAAGATTAAAAGAAATCATTCCCAAAATTCTAACTTTTGAAATAACTGGAGTGAGAGTACATTTCAGAGATAAGACTCCTAAAAGTCCAGGAAACCTGTTCATATAAATACATATTTAAAACATTAAAATTGTAGCCATCATCTATAAAAATCGACAAACAAAACCCAGTTGTCATTGAGCTAACTCTGGCTCCTGGAAACTCCATGTGTCTCAGATAGAACTGTATTCCGTATGGCTGTTGTTTTGTTTTAAAAGTAGATATCCAGACTTTTCTTTCAAACCTTAGGATTGACTTGAACCTCTAACTTTTCAATTAGCAACCAAGGTTTTAACTGTTTGCATCACTCAGGAACTCCTTCTCTTCAAGAAAGAGGAACTAATGATGATACCAGCTTGATAGGGTGGTTGGAAAAATAAAAGGAAACAATGTGCTAATTACAAATTGAAAAGTTCTCTATAGCGTTATCATTTTCTCTAATAAATATACCCATAAAACCATCACCCAAAATTTGATGTTTAGGCCGGTAATGTAGTATCTTCTCTTCATAGTAATTTAATGGCGAATGAGAGCTACTCTTGAAGGACCATTTCTGAAGGTACCAATAAATAAAGTCAGGGAACTCACACAGAGTCAGGTAAAAAATGAGAGAGGTTGCATTCTTAATTTTAAAGATCTTAATTAAAAAATTAAGGAAAAATAGTGACGTTTTATTTTACATTTATTCCCAGTATCAGCACTATGAACAGATGAGATTAAAGATACCCTTGTATGTAAAATGTAAAAAGAGAATGTTGTTGTTGTTGTTAAGTGCCGTCGAGTCGGTTCCGACCCATAGTCACCCTGTACAGGGTTTCCGAGGGTGTAAATCCTTACGGGAGTAGAAAGCTTCATCTTTCTCCTGCGGAGCTGCTGGTAGTTTCGAACCGCTGACCTTAAGGTTCGCAGCCTGATTGGTAACCACTACACTACCAGAGAATACCAGATTTTAAATTAAAGAAGTATTTTGTTTGTTTTATTTTGCTTTCTAGACTTGGTACGTTTCAAGAGATATTATTAGCCAACATTATACTTCCGGTCTTAGATATTTGGTGAACACTCTACATTAAGAAAAACATGTTATCTTTTTTAAGAGATAAGTTTTTTAACAACTAATTTTAATAACCATATAAAATTTTTTGCATTCTCAAAAATGAGAAAAAGGTACTAGAGTTTGCAGTATGCATAATATTAACCTATGTTCCCCTTCCCAAATATTAATATGCTTTACATCATTGATATATCTCAAGAATCTATAAGAGCTTACTTAGCACATAGTAGTTGATCAACAAATATTTGTTAAATGAGTAGCATTCATTAGGCTTTCTATACTTACCATTAAGCAGTACTTTCCATCTCTAAATATAGTATATAACATTAATAAGTGTTTATGCTAATAAACTTAAGGTTTCACAGAGATGGAAACTTCAAGGACGCAAATGTTAAGTCTCGACTTCAGAATTCACTCTGACATAGTGTTTATGCACTTTTTCCATAGACTTCTACGACCCAACTAAGGTATAGTAACACATGTGGTATTGTTAGTGGATATTATTGAATCCTTTTTATTAAATTACTTTGTAAGAACATATTTGAATTTGGAAAATAAATATAAAATATGGATGAAATCAGAGAATAATTAGTATATTTAAGCATGCATCAGAAGTTAGAAGTTTCTCAGTTTAATGAACACTCCAAGCAGATAAGACCAATGTGAAATCTTTTCTTCTTGCCCTATAGAGGAAATTCTCTTCCCATCAGACTCTCTAAGAAGTCTCTGGATAATGCAAATGGTTAATCTACTGTACTAATGACCAAAAGGTTCTAGTTCACCTAGAAGTATCTAAGAAGAAATGCCTGAAAGGTCACATACTTGAAAATGCCTATGGAGCAGTTCTGATCTGTACACATGGGTCACCACAGCAATGGAACAACCACAACACTCCATAATTCTTATATCTTAGACCATACTTGATAATTCTTCCTCTTTAGCAATAAGTGTTCTTAGACTGGTATCAAGAGCCAGCTACAAATATAATGCATGACAAATCCTTTAGCACTTGACAATTGAACAGACACCAATGACACCAACTGAAAAGGTCATTATTAAGTCATCTTCAAAACTTTAGTCTTGCTCTCTGGCCCAAACACAGAGTCTTGTTTAAATACCTGACATTAGTTCTATGTGAAGACCTATAGATTTCTTCCAAATATATTTTTTACTTAAAGGGTTTATATTGAGAATTTAAGGAGTCTGGTAGTATAGTGGTTACAGGTCAGGTTGCTAACCTTAAGGTCAGCAGTTCAAAACTAACAGCTGTTCAACGGGATAAAGATGAGGCTTTCTGCTCCCATAAAGATTTACAGCCTCAGAAACCCTGCGCAGGGTTGCTATGAGTTGGAACGACTCCACGGCATGCCACCACCACCATTAATAATTTATTCCTAAAAAACTAAATAAAACATAAGGTCAGGTAACTATTGCCTCATTTCCTAGGTGTGTTTGTCAAAGAGATGACAGTGGTGACTTGCACCTCATGGGCAGCCACCACTTGTCTGTCAGTGAAGCTTGTGTGTTGCTAATGATACTATGAAACGGTGTCAGCAGAACTTCTAGACTATCACAGGCTACAAAGGTCTGACAATCTACTTCCAGAAATGAGCTAAAGAAAACTTTACGATCACAAATGTATTATAACAACCAATCATAGGGATGGCACAGGGCTAGGTGGCATTTTGTTCAATTATGCGTGGGATCATCATGAATTAAGTACTGAATATGGCAACTAGCAACAGTATCATAAAAGACCAGGAGAAGATAGTTTTGGTTTCTACAACATATCTTTGTATAGATTTGCCATTGTAATGTGTGCTATGTTGTTGTTGTTAAGTGCTGTCGAGTCAGTTCCAACCCATAGTGAACCTGTAAAGGGTTTCTAAGGAGCAGCTGGTGAGCTTGCAGTTCAAATGGTTTCACAGTCTGGCACATTAACCCACAGCACCACACCATATGAACCCATTAAAGTGTTTTTCTTCTAGTTGTTTTATATGCTAATCTTACCTTGTAATGTCCACTGAGGTTTGTCTGGCAGGAGAGCAGCAGCTAGTGGTCGTGGTGGGGGGGTTGGTGGTCTGCTGCTGAGAAGTGGCTCTTGTGATTTATTTTCTAGCTCATCTCCAGGAAGGAGCATATATAAGTTCTCATACTGGTTCTCAGAACTCTCACTGCCAACTTCGAATGGGCTTTGTTCAGCCTCCTTGCCTAGTTCATTCTCATTTTCTTCTGCTGCTACTTCATTCATCTCAGCTCCTATTAGCCCCAGCTTGCGTGTCTGCCAGCTTTCATGATGAAATGATGCATTCTGCAGGGCTGTTTATGATAAAGATTTTATTTCCTTTAAACACACCATCTGGAGGCATTTCATATTTTGTAATTTCACACAGAAGTAGAAGTACTGCTAATAAAACTTTTATGAACTGATATAGTAGAAAACTTGCAAACACATAACTTGGTGAACACTTGTTTCTGGGCTTTTAAAATATTTACTAAATGAACAGTGAAAGCTTCCATTATATCTTGCTAACTCAGTACATGATTCACTCATGCATATAATAATACTCTGATTCTCTAGAGTTATTGTTTGAGCTGATTTGTGTTTGATAGCATTATTATATTTTTATTAAAAAATAATGTAACTGGTCTAACAAAATACACAATAAATAAGTGACACAAAATACAAAGACTAGGGATAAAATGGATTTTTATATAAAAAATGCAATATAAATTAATCTGTAACTTTTATTTAGTTATGGTTTTAATGTATATTTGTTACCAGATGCTACCTTAATTTATTAAAATTGTATGTATGAATACATTAATTTGTTTATTATGAAGGTATTCAAATCATCATTAGTAGATAGATCATTCTGAGGTTCAATTCTGTCAGTTATTAATGGGTTTATCATGGAATTTAGCCAAATAATCCAGTCAAGTTCCCTCTATTCTAATAACCATCAGTTGTTTTTGTACTGTACACAAGTCTATGTAACCACCCAGAAACAAAATAGATTTAAAAAATTACTGAAATGTAATAACCTTAAGTCCTAAAAAATTATCTTGATTACATATTTTTTAGGAATATAAACTCTAAAGAAATTCCAAATTTTGAAACAAATTTTGGAACCACTCTATCAGAGGGAATTGTAATCGTCAGTGCCACAGAGCATCAAAAATTATTGTTTTAAAATTAAGCTAAGTTTAAATATAGACAAAAAGGTCAAAAGGCAGACTGAGTTCAGAGGAGAAAGCTGGTTTTTGTTTTGTTTTGTTTTTAAGTGAAGAAATAAACTGCAGAATTTTTTCAGTAACAGAGAGCTATTAGTCATGTGGAAAAATATGCTCATGATGGTACCTGATATTTCTACATGTGTTTTTTCTTGATTTTTTTTTTCACTTCTTTCACATGAGAAGAAAGATAAACACAGTTTCCTATACTAGAACCTGCACAGGAAGATTCTTTTAAGAGCTAATGTAGCATGACAGGCATTCACACTAGGTATTCATTGTTGCATGGCTATCTCATTCATATTTCTTCCCTTAATACCAAATGATAAGCCTGAAGTAAAACAGTGTCTATATTTGTTGATGAAGTAGATGATGAAATGACTGAAAAGAAATCATTGCTCAAGCTAGCAAAAGGACTTCACTATTTCTGTCTGGGCAAATCAATCATTAAATTAGAATTACATTCACGCTCTGGAAATTACTTATAGCCGCCTTTATGTTTACAGCGGTCAGTTTCTTAGCACTGACTAAACACAGTATTTATCAATTTTGCCAATACCTACAATCTAACTATATAACCTCAGAGTTGGATTTAGTGTGTGTGTGTTTTGTTTTGTTTTTAATTTCAGCAAGCTTTTTAGTAATTGGGATACCAATCTACTTACAGAGGTATCCTATACCTTTGCCTCCTCTCCCATGAATGAAGCTGACAGCTGATTCCATTATTACAATCACACCTGAGCTTCATATATGGGTAAGTTTCTGGTTCTAAATTGTGTGTAGATAGGACTTTGCTCTCTGCAAAGAACTAAAATAATGTTTTCTTATTACAGGCCATTCTTCTGAGGATTAAATGTTATAATGAATATATAGTCATAACTAATGAAGTTATTTAACATTTATCATCATTTAAAATTATAAAGATATATATAATCTTAAAACTTGGTTAATGGATTAATGAACTTAACATTTAGCATTTTCTAGGGGATTCTGCAATAATGCTTGATGGACTTTATTACTTTTCCAAGGTAGACAAGTTAAAGTATTGCATTTAAATGTACTTTCTATTCGATTTGAAGGTTAGCTATCATTTGAAAAACTACTACTAAATAATATCTATTTGTCATCTACTGGCTTTTTAAGGTAAGCACTAGGCTGTGAGGTCAGTTTGAGTTGTAAAGTTTGCATTTCAAGCTCACCAGCCACTCCTAGGAAACCCTACACAAGGTTACTATGATTCAGAAATGACTCAAAGGCATTTGACAACAACAAAGGTGTTATTACAAAATGGACGAAGATTAATTTCTGATGAAGTGAAGACAAGTACATTTGTGGCTCATAGCTCAGCCTAAAACATTTTGAATAAGGGAATATGAAAGCTGTTGACAGATAGACAAAATATATTGAAAAGCAAGGAGATTTTGTTGAAAAATGATGTATTTGTATTTTCTAAAAGTGTATTAAAATAAATTCTACAGCCACAGTGTGGATAATTTTTGTCTCATCCTCATAAATGTAGATACTAGATAGTGATATTTGTAACAAAGAAAAGAAGCAGGTAAAGGAACATTGTGAAAAAAGAATTCCTCTGGAATTTACTAGAAGTATTTAAATCAGCACTTAAGTTAGTAGCGTATTATAAATTCAAACTCATTTGGCTAATTAAATACCTTCTTACATTCCCTTCAAGCTTATTTCTACAGTTACATGTATCAGAAGAAAACTTACTGGGAAAACATGTATCCTCTTCATAGTTATTTTCTAGCTCATTTCTGCTAATTTCTAGGTTCTGAAAAAAGCAGAATGAAATTTTCAGTAATATGTATTAATATGGATATTTATTTGTATATATACCAAAGGAAAGTTAATGCCTGTAGAAATAATAGATTAAAGTTTTTTATTTAAAATAACACTTTAAGTTTTCATTTCATGTTAATTTTGATTGCATTACAAATTTTAGTTTTTATATTTGTGCACTACTGACTGCTGAATACTAAAAGAATAACTTTGGTAATACATTTACTTTAAATGAAAACTTATTGCAACAGCTTTTGTGAAATTTAGGTATACCAAAGAATATCTGAATAAAATTTAGATATTCTTTCTCTTAAATACCATGAGCTTTACTCTTTTTAAACATTTGCTTCTCTTTCACCAATTCAAAAGACATTTTTAATTATAGCAAGTACTATAATATATTGAAATATAATTAATTTATGAAGCAGTTTAATTTTGCTTTGTAAAATAAAAATCTCCAGCTACTGTCTCCTAATGCTTTATTGACTATGCAAAGGCATTCAGTTGTGTGGATCATAGCAAATCATGGATAACATTATGATGAATGGATATTCTAGAAGATTTAATTGTATTCATATGGAACCTGTACATAGACCCAGAATCAGTTGTTTCAACAGAATAAGGGGATACTGCATGGCTTCAAATCAGGAAAGGTATGCATCTAGGTTGTATTTTGTCACCATACACTTCAATCTGTATGCTGAACATATCAAGAAACTGGACTATACGATAAAGATTCCTTAACTACTTATGCTATACAAATGACACACATTTGGCTTGCTAAAATTGAAAAGGACTTGAAACACTTACAAGAGATTATAGACTACAGACTGCAGTATGAATCACACTGTAAAAAAAATAAAACAAAAATCATCACAACTTGACCAACAGAAACACACAGAGAAAAGATTGAAACTGTCAAGGATTTCTTTGGACTTGGATGCATAATCCACAAAAACATCTTTCAGGAAGTCAACAGATGTGTTGCATTAGGTAAAGCTGCTGCAAAAGACCTCTTTAAAGCCTTGAAGAGCAAAGAAGTCACCCTGAGAAGTAATATGTGACTGATTACAAGCCATGGTATTTTTAATTGTCTCATATTCCTCTAAAAGCTTCGAAATGAATAAGGAAGATTGAAGATTTGTTGCATTTGAATTATGGTGTTGTCAAAGAAAACTAAAACTACCATGAGTTGCCAGAACAGGAAAAAAATCAATCTTGAAAGAAGTATAGCCAAAATGTTCTTTAGAAGTAAGGATGGCAAGACTTCATCTTTGTACATGATATCAGGAGGGAACAGTTTCTGGAGAAGAACATCATGCTTGGTAAAGTAAAGGCTCAGTGAGGTGGGATTGGTACAGTGAATACAGTGGGTTCAAACAAAGACGCAATTTTGATGATGGCATAGGACTGGGCAGTGTTTTATTTTTATGTACTTGGAGTAGAAACAGACTAAACAGTATCTAGCAACATAAATTTCATAAGATAGATCAAGAATAAATAAATAAATAAATAAAT